AAGTCTAAAATGTACAACCATTTTAGCAATAAGCAGCATGTTCTACAAGAAAGCATATTTATCTAAATTGTGTGATTCCACTTCTAGGAATTCATACCAAGAGGGAGAAATAATCAAGATGTAGCCAAAAGTTTAGCTCAACATGATTAATGATGAGTGATAACTGGAAGTGACCTAAATATCCAACAGAAAGGGTGTGATTAAATAGAGTATAGAACATCCATCCTCCATAAATCACCAAAATTAGATTTCTGAAATTGGGTTTTTGAAGTATGTGTGCATTTTTGAAAGCGGGTCAGAAAATACAGAAAGATGCCTGATGGTGTGTTTCTGGCTGATGGGATTTCACCTAATTAAAATTTTTCTTTCATTTTTTCCATAGTTATGACAATGTTCACAAGAAAACATATTTCATTTCTATCTTCTAAAATAATTTTAAATGCAAGAGTAGCATGCACTTGTTAAATATTTAAGCACCAAAATATATAAAGTAATAATCAAGTGTTTCATATTACCAAAACCCATTCTCCAAGACAGCCACTGTCAGGTTGGTCTACACACGTCCAGCCCTTCCATGTGTATGTCCCTGAAAACACACACACACACACACACACACACACACACACACACATACACAAAGTAGGTGTTGGGATTTTATTTTTCAAAAATGGCATCATACTCTGCATATTACCCTGCAACTAGCTTTTTAGATAAACTTGTTTTTGACATTTTCTATCTCAGATCTTCCATATTTTTGTAAGACTCAAAGTTTGAATGAACTAGAATGTATTTCATCATTCCCCTATTAATGGACATTTAGGTTGTTTCCATTTGAAAATATAAATTATGAATGCTGCTACAAATGAAATTTCCATATGTGTATGTGTGTTGTGTCTGCATGTATAAGGTGCACTTATGTATTCCCACAGAAGAGATGCCTAAAAGTGGAATTGCTGCATCAGGGAGACCAAGCTTTTGACATTTTTATAGGCAATGCCTAACTGTCCACCCAAAAGGCTGTTTCAACTTAAATTCACGATAGTGAATGACAATGCCCTTTCCTCTATATCCCAGCCAATAATGGTATATTATTGATAGTTTTTTATTTTGCCAATCTGATTGGCAAAAATGAAAGTATGTTTGTTGTTTGTTAGACCATTGATGAAACTTGTTTTCCTTCCATATTTTTATTGACTGGTTTATTTCTTCAATGAATTTACCCATCATAATTTCACCCATTTTCCATTTGGTTGGTTGTATTTTCTTACAGGAATTTCTTATAGAACTTCTTCATATACTTGTGATATTAACCCCTTGTTAAATATACATGTTGTAAATATTTTTCCCTGGTCTGTTTATCCCTTTTGTTTATGGGTTCCCTTATCATAAAGCTGTTTTTAATTTTTATGCATCAGATCGGTTTAATTTTTTATTTAGGGTTTCTGTGATCTGTGCCGTACTTTAATAAGATGAGATCTTTTTTGTATTCTCTTCCACCACTTGCATGTTTTGGTGTTTGTTTTTACTTCACCTGCAGTTTATTTTTGTATAGATAAGAATATGACCTTCTTTGTTTTCCAAATGAAACGTCAGTTGTTGCATATTTGTTGAATATAAATGCAATTGTTATCAATCACTAAATTATTGACTTATCACATTCTCCCTGTTATTCTATTGATTTTGTTCATTCATGCATCTATTCCACCCTGTTTTAATTACTGTAGCTTTACAGTATGTTTTGGTACCTGGTAGGGAAAGAACCCATCATTATTATTCTTTTTCAAAATATCTGTGTCTATTCTCCATCATGATTCTTACTATGGGGCTTTAGAATCAGTTCACTCATTTTTGAAAAACCATTCTTTTAGTGTTTTGTTTCTAATTTTGTGGAACACATGGAGTCTTTTGAGGAGAATCGACATCTTCGCTGTGCTCAGCAGTTTCACACAGGAACATCAGATGCTTCCCATTCACTCACACTCTCATTATGTCTATCAAGTCAATTTGTTTTAAATTTTATTCATGTAAATCTTGTACATTTTGTGTTTATTCCTCAGGTTTTTAATATAATTTTCATTGTGGTTGGGTATTTTCCCCCAGTCCCCCACATCCTAAGGGGTTGCTGCTTGAGGAGAAGGGAAAGCTACTGATTTGTCCATTTCGCTCTTGTCTTCATTTATTGGACTCTTGTGTGAGTTCTAACAGTTCTTCGGGGATTTTGTAGGGGCTTTTTGACATAGACTAGCACATGATCTGCAAAGAACAGTGTCCTCTCATTCTTCCTACTATTTATGCCTCATTTTCCCCCCTCATCTCATTGCATTGGTTAGAATCTGTAGAATATGTTGAATAATAAAAGAGAGAGTTGCCTTCTTAAAGGCAACCTGGCCTTTAAGAAGGTTTTGCCTTTAAATAAAAAGGTTATTTTCCTTTTTGGGAGATACTCTTTATCTAAGTGAGGAAGTTTCCTTAGATAAATTAATAAAAGGCTGCAGGTTTGCTTTCTTTAAATCAGAAACAAGGGTTGAATTTATATCACTATTATATCAAATTTTGTTTCAAAACTCTTATGTGCACATTTTCAATTCAACCAGGACCAGATGGTCCTATTAACTGAGGTGGTAGATGCTGGCCCCAACACAGTGGGTTATCTTCCAATTTAGATAAACTTTACTGAGATAAAATCAGACTTGGCAAAGCCTGAGGATTCTTGCAATCAGAAACTCTTAGTCTGACTTGGGTGTTTCTTTTTGTTTCTGAGTGTTTTAATGGTGTTTTTGTTATGGTCGGGCATCTGGCACACAGAAGGTGATTCAGTGATGGGAAAGCATTCTGGGATGGCTCCAGGCCCCTGGCCCGGAGAGAAATCTGCTGAAGGGAGGACAATGCAGGGGAGCAAGTTTGCAGGGAAATGTGCGGGGTTTAGCTGGAGCCTGTTGACTTTGAGCTGCCTGTAGGAAATTCAACCAGAGACAGGTTCAGGAGGCAGAATACGCATTAATCCAGAGCCAGAGAGATCAGGACTGGACGTAGGGATGCAAGACCGCAGGACAGTCACTGAAATGTACCACATGTGTCAGAGGCAGAGAGACTGGGACAGTACAGGAAGACTGGTATTTGGGGTGGCAGTGGCCATGCAGGGGCCAGGGAGAAAGGGAAGCCACAGGAGGGGAGAGTGGGCAGTGCAGGTGCCAAGAAGAGATGGCGGAGATGGATGGGTTATGGACTGATGAATAGGTGATGGATGGATGACGGATGGATAGATGGATAGATGGATGGATTGATGAACAGAAAGACTGTGACCCGGGGACACACACTGGGTAACTCCAAGGCCACAGGAGGCGCCCGCCTTGGAAGGGGTCTGGGCAGGGGGACACCTCTGGGCTGTGGGCCTACCCAGGTGTGCCCTGGCCTCTGGGGAGCTGGCTGCCCACCTGCCCAGCCCCAAGACACAGCCCCGCCCACTGCAACCCCGTGCCATCAAGCCCTTCAATTTCCTACTCTGGCCCAGCCCCTCGGGGGCAGGCCCCAGCTGCTGGCCCACAGGTTTTGGTCCGAGCCTCAGTCATCGTGGTATCTTTTTGGAGCTGGGACCCGAATCACCGTCCTAGGTAAGTGGCTCTCACCACCTTCCCAACCTGCCCACCCCTCTGCTGTCTCTGGAAAGTCATTTTTCTCTCTCTGGGGGCTGCCAACTTCTGGCCTCCCAGCCTGCAGACCAACTCCCTCCTTTCTCTGTGGGATCTGGGCTAGGAAGTTTGGTCTTCAGTGACCCAGTGGCAGGAGCACCACCTTCAGGGCCCAACAGCTGGGCACAGCTGGGTCCCAGGGGCCTGACCTGGGGGATGTGGCCCAGGAACAGGGGCTCCTTCGCCTCTTCTAGGGCAGACCCCCAGGGGGCAAGAGGCTGGCTCTGATGAGGGGCAGTGGGTGGCCTTAGAGAGTTCCTGGGTCCTCAGGCGCTGGGCTGGGAGGGCCACACGGGAGGCTGGGGACAGGGCTGGGGTTGTGACTCCAGCCTCCGGGACACAGAGGAGCACCCTAAAGGGAGGCCCATGGAGGGTGGAGACAGGAGGCAAGCTCACTCTAGGCTGAAGCTCTCATAACTTCCGCTGGGCTGGGAGTACCTGGCAGCATAGAAACACTGGTAAGACGGGGGAGAGGCGGAGACCTGGTCCTCTCAGGACAGTGCTAACGAAGGAGCAGGTTCCTGGGGGCTGAGTCCTCTGTCACTGCAGCCTCTTAGCCACTGGGGTCCAGGTATCTGACCTGTCCAAGGGTCAACCTCCTGCCATCCTCAAAGAGTGACTTACACTCAGGAGATGAGGAAGGGGGAGTGACCGGGGGTCTCAGAGCTACATGGCCACTCCAGGAAATCAGCACTTCCACTGGACGTATGGGGGAGGCCGTCATCCGTGAGCAGCCCCAGGAGACAACCGAGGGCAAGGGTCCTGCAGGCAGGGCAGGGGCCGGAGAGGCGGGCAGAGCCTGGGAGGGGCCCGGGAACTTTGACCAGGGAGCCGGTCCTTGCGGGGACAGTGGAGGCCAGGCAGGGGCAGAACCTGTGCCTAGTGGGAGAGGGGGCTCCAGACCCCACTGTATGCCAGTCTCAGGACCGGGGCCCCCACACACTATCAGGATCATCCTGGGGAGGAGACCCCAGTTAACAGGGAAAGCCCCCCAGGGGGCCAGAAGGGTGGAGTGACACAGGGCCTGAGGCTGCGCCGAGGGCTGGAGGGCAGGGCCAGACCCCAGACTCTGGCGCCAGAGACAGAGAGGAGGAGGACAGCCGGCCCTGGGCGCCCCGGGGAGACGGAGGCTTCAGAGGCCCGGCGGGAGCAGTCACCAGGGAGAGGGCACTGCCGGGCCTCAGGGAGGGCGGGGGACTGTCTACGCCCAGGAGCCGGGGTGGAAGGGAAGGTGTCAGGTAAACAGTCAGAGAGGCCCCCGCAACACCCCTGACTCCAGGAAAACTCACACCCCCTTCTCTGTGCACACAGGTCAGCCCAAGGCCGCACCCTCGGTCACCCTCTTCCCGCCCTCCTCCGAGGAGCTCAGCGCCAACAAGGCCACAGTGGTGTGTCTCATCAGTGACTTCTACCCCGGCGCCGTGACGGTGGCCTGGAAGGCAGACGGCGCCCCCGTCACCCAGGGCGTGGAGACCACCAAGCCCTCCAAACAGAGGAACAACAAGTACGCGGCCAGCAGCTACCTGAGGCTCTCCCCCAACGCGTGGAAGTCTCACAGCAGCGTCAGCTGCCAGGTCACGCACGAAGGGAGCACCGTGGAGAGGACGCTGGCCCCCAGGGAGTGCTCTTAGGCCCCGAGCCCCCGCCCCTGGGCGCCTGGACACACAGGCCTCCGGGGAGGGTCTCCCTCACCCCGCGCTCCCCCCAGCCCTCTCCCTGCTCCTCATCAATTCGCAATAAAGGGCCCTCCTTGCCCATCAGGAGTCATGCTCTCTGCTCATTGTTGGCTTACACATTTTTTGTCCTGAACTCAACCACACCCTCAGGGACACAGACACCTGTTGCTTGTGGGAAGGAAGCCAGGGAAAGGGCCATCTCTGCAGGTTTCCTTGAGAGGGAGTGTCACTCACACTCAGAGGGCAGAGAATATTCCAGAAAACAGCATTCAGGCAGCAGGACCCATCCTGAACTTATGATCCTCACAGGGACCAAGTCCACCCCAGTGTCCCGGCAGCTCACAGGCTCACTCCCATGTGATCAGCTGTCCCACTATCCCTCCGTCAAGGCCCCGCACTCCACGCCATGCCCTCTTGGCCTCCGGACCCATTCGGAAATTCCCCATCCCCTCAGCCTGACATCCCACCCCATCCTGAGGGCCCTCCATACTACTGCCTCCCTAGGGACACTGCCCCACGGCCCCTGCCTCAGCCCCCGTCCCCTCACTCTCACAACAGGACACTCCGCTCCCAGACCCGGGTCACCCCCTCCACACTCCTCCTGGGGACCACCCTCCCACACACGTCCTGGAGGGCACAGCTGTAGTCAAGGCCCATAGAGGACAGGAGCCACCTCTGCTGCCTCCCAGCCCTGACAGGCAGCCCACCACTGACCCAGCACAAATGCCGAATGGCCACTACTCTTGGGGGACCTGCGTGACCACCCATGTCCTAAATCAAAGGAAAGATACTGGGAATGTGCCATTCATGACTCTGTGGGCTGATCATCATCTTAGGAGCACGCATGCACACACACTCATTGACATGGACATGAACATACACTCACACCAATATGCTCACAAAACACATTTATAAGCACACCCACGGTGGCACCACTATGGAGGATCAACTGGAACTGGAGTAGAATATGTTTCGGTGGGGACCCAGCTTGGGAGATGAGCAGGGAGAGGGCATCCCTGACGTCCCCAGGCTGTGCACTGCCTGAGCCACGAGGCTGTGCCGGAGAGAGAAGGATGCCACACCCACTCCTGTGGGCGTCACATGGGTGAGCTCTGCAGGTGACAGTCCAGAACCAGGTGCAGTCCCAAGGCCTGCGTCACAGGTACCCGTAACGACATGAAGCTGCAGGGCAGGGGTGCACTTACTACCCCGGCTTGTGGGGTCCCTCTGTCCTACTGATACTCATGCACATGGGACACGTGTAATCAGGAGCGCCAGGGGACAGCAGGCACTCCCACACTTAGGGCTCAGGGAAGAAATTAGCAAGAACAGTGGCCTCCTCCCCACCTAGAGGGGTCCACCTGGGCCATACAGCTCCAGTTCAGCCCTCCTGGAGGGGCAGGGAGGCAGCTGCCCCCCACCAGGCTCAGCACACGGTCTACGCACCAGCTGCTCCTGGCACCTTCAGGAAGGCCCAGCCAAGGAGGGAGGCCACGTCCCAGGGCCCTGCGGAGGCTCTGGATGCTGGTTCAGGACTCCATTCCTGCCCCGCCACACTTCCCATTCCCTCCCAAAACGTCCATGGCCTCCTCAGCCCACTGAGTGGTGCATCCAGGTCTGCAGGCCAGTACCAAGTCTGCAAAGGGGTCTCAACTCC